TAATGAGTTAATGGCATTTTGTTTAGTAATTGTGTTTAATCCTCTAGCATTTATTGTTGCAAAATTTCCTATGGTAGACCGTGTCCGTTTTTTCTCTTTTTTGTATTATTAAAATATGATAACTAATGAATGTTGTTTTTTTTGGTTGAATTTTGCCTTTTGGTTTTTCTTCCTTCTATGGATGAACGAATGCTTTGATTTATTATTATTAACTAACACACACTAAAATATACTAAAGTATAAATATTTTTGTGAAAGAAAAAAAACCAAGTAGCAAAACCACCAAAAGAAAAGTAAATAAAAATTGATTTTTTGGTAAGAAAAGTTTAAATTTAAAGCTATTTGATTTTTTTTCCGTTAATTTATAAGAATTATTATGAATGAATGGATGAATGAATGATATAATTAGTCAACTATCCGTACTTTCATTGACAGTCTCTGAAATTGGACTAGATTATTTGATTTAATTTTGTCAGGGAATTTCATATGAAATGTATGATCTAGAAATTATATATATGTGATAGAATTTTCTATCTCGAGACAGCGAGCGTAAAAAAATTCATTTCCATTCACGTTTCCATGATGAAATGACGCTCGGTATAATGGGAGAACCAATCAGATAATAAGTTCTTTAATACCGGAAATTTTCTCTGAAATGGATAGAAATGATCGTCGCAAAAATAATATTACGGAAAATATAATTTGCCAGCTTATTTCATTTAATTAGAATGGATAAGAAGGGAAAAAGTCCATCATTTGTTTGACTATTCGTAGTAAATTAAAAGATATGGTAATACTAAACTATTAGATAATGAGGATATTAATATTGATTCATTGAACGACAACAACAACTTCAGTAGTAGTAATAGAAATAGTATTAATAATAATAAACTGTTAATAACAACAATAATAGTAATGACAATGATTAAAACAGTACTATTACAATTACTGCTGCTACCGCTATCTGATGATGATGATGATGATGATATCATTATCAATAATAATTATAGTGAGACATTAGACAGTAGTAGCAATAACGATATTAATATTAGTGAAAATAATAATTAATAATCAACTAATTGAAGCAAGATTTTGCTGCCAGTTTTGATGAAAGGCAAAATAAAAAATTATTTAATGATAAAAAAATAGATTTATTCTTTTAGGCTTGTAAATTTTGATTAAAATTATCACAATACCAAGTTCCTTTACCTCGTAATTCTTGGCTTACTTTTTGCTATGGTGAGATATAACTTTCTTTCTTTATTTAAAAGTATCACGAAACTGGAGAATTATCTGGTCCCTTCCCTATTGAATTTAACTTTTGTGTCCAAATTCAATCAAAATTAAGGCTATATCATGATCACATTACATTGGTAGTACAACGTCGTGTTCGACTAATTTTTTAAATATTGATTTCCTGAAATTTTGTACGTTCCATATAAAAAATTCAAAATCATGAAAAATTCATCAGATATTTCTAATTCAAGATGTATGCAAGGAATTACACTTATTCAAGCTGAAAAACGTACATATAGAGTTTCTAGTTCTTCTATAGTATCTATTGACACAATAAACAAAGAAAATTCTGGTGAGTTACTATCATTATTTCTTATTATTTTATCTTTTTATTTTTTCAAAAAAAATTTTTAATTAATTAATCAATTCATTCATTCATTATTTAAAAATTTAGATACAAAAAGTAGTTATTCAAAAAATCATAATAAAAGTAATGAAAATTTAGTTTCCAATGACAGCAAATTGGTTAAAAGCATTGATCCAAATATACAACAAATCCATGAAAAAAATGTATCAAATGATCAAATAACAACATTAAAACTTAAAATACCATCAAAAATGTATGGACATATAATTGGTAATTTTGATAATAATAATAAATGATCCTTATAATTATTATTGTTATCCTTGATAACTTTGCAATTATATAAAATAGGCAGAGGAGGTGCAACATTGAAACAAATAGAATCTGATACAAATACTAGAATAAAAATTATAAATGGTGAAGATGTAGTATGTATGTAAATATATATTTATATTTTTTATGCTTTTATTTTTTTTTTTTTGGAGGAACAAAAAATAAAAATATCTTTTGGTGTTTAAAATTTCAGCAATTACAGGTTCAAATGAAAACATTGAGAAATCTAAAAAAAGAATCTATGAAATAATTAGATCAGTATGATATGACATTACATTTATATATATATAAAGTTAAAACTTATTTCCACTTAATAAACAATATTAACTGTTCATGTTTCCTATAATTATATATAATAATAGGTTGTTCCAAGATCACCTCCAACACATTTTTTATCTTTACCACTTGATACTGATCGAAATTTGCAACAAAAGATATCCAATTTTCAATCAGATGTTCTCTCACTTTCCATACCCAAGATTGATCCCACCATACTTATAAATCCATCTTCATTTCATTTGACCCTTGGGATGTTAAGTTTGTATATTGAAGAAGATATTAAAGGTGCCGTGCAATTGTTAAAAAGTTTGTCTACTGAAGTTAATGATTTAGTTGGATCAAGAATACCAGTTGTAAAATTATCTGGTTTGGATATAATGGATGAAGATTCTAGTAAGAGAGATAGATAATCCTATAATTCTACAAACATTTATATTTACATTTATATCTATATTTAATAATAAACAAAATTTAAATTTACTACTAGCAAAAACAAATGTTTTATATGCAAAAGTTGAAGAATTGGGAGAAAAAAAGATTTTAACAAAATTAGCTGGTATAACTTTTATACATACATTTATCTATCTATCTATTTATTATCACATATTTATTTTTTTTTCTTTAAAAAATTTACTGATCTATAGAATTTTTGAATGAAAAATTTTCTGAAGCTGGATATTTAAAAAAAACTGATAGACCATTAAAGGTATTATTTACTTGCTTAAAATTTTAATTTATCACCAACAACTTTAAACGCTAACAATGATACAAACATTGTTGTATTTATTTTTTTGATTATTTTTTTTTAGCTTCATGCCACTTTGATTAATACAAGTCATCGTAAAATTAAAGGATCGTATAAAAATTATGAACGAATTCCATTTTCAGCTGTTCAAATTCTAAATAAATTCCCCAATATCGATTTTGGAACATGCAGAATTGAGAATATTCATATATCAAAAATTGGAGAACATGATGAAAACGGAAGACATAAAAGTGAAGGAAAAATTAAAATCAAATAACAATACTATCAATAACAATTTAATTTTGGTATAATGTACATTATATCATCCGGAGAGGGGGGGTTAAATTATTAAACATAAATGTGCAATGGTTGAATCAATACCCTTGTTGCTTTGTTGCATCAAAAAAGGGAAACATTATAAATTTACTGGTCGTGTGACATGTTGTACTTGATCTTCTATATTAAAAAAATAAGTAAAACGAAATTTCTCCATTAAAGCTTTCCGATGAATATCTTTTCATATGGAAAGGTCTTTTCTATGTAAATCCATGACTATTCAAAAATGGCAATGCTTTTTCGCTTCAAGGCTGAGATAATTTTTTCAATGTCGCTTTAAAAGACTTGATAGTGGCTGAGAAGGTGTAAAATACTCTAAGCCTTCATATGGTCATGAGTACTAGTTAATAAGTTTAGAGAGATTCACAAAAAAACGGGTTTATAAATGCTTTAATATGTCAATAATGAACCAATTATATTGAAGACAGTAATGGTAATACGGGATTTTTACATCTCTTTGACTTATTCATTTAATTATTTATTAAAGGAAAAGAGAATTTTGATTTTTTAGAATGATTTTAGTATATTTTACGACGCTTGCAAAGCAAGCGTCGTAAATCTTGTCTTTAACATTTACTTCCATCAAACCGCCCGCCGCCTATCATGCAACTATTGAATAATTGATAAAACGTTCATCAAGTATATTGTACAAGGCTTGCTTTGGAAGCTTCGTACATCTTGTCTTTAACACTTACTTTGCCTATATAACTATTGAATAATTGATAAATGTTCATAAGTATAATATTTTTTTATTATATTTAAAGATTATACATTATAAAAAACCAAAGTTTGTTGTTATACTCACTTCATTCATTCCTCCTCTCATTAATTCCGGTAATTATGTAGAGGAATCATACAAATAATTCATTGCCCCGACCCTTGAATTCGGATACAAAACCAATGCATTTTTTTTTTGCGATTTTTTGGTCATGAATTTTGATCTCCGAATGAATATACATGCAAGTGTTTGGATTGAGTCGTGTGATTTTATAATGTTATGACATCAAAGAATTATCATCGCACTATAGTTTTACGGTTTATGATGAATTAAAATCAATTAGAAAAGAGATTAAGAAAATGGATGAAATAAAATTTGATCCTTCAACAATTACTGCAACAATTCATCCAAATGCAGTTTATATTAGCAGATTATTAAAATTCACAAATCTTCTCCAACCTGTGAATTCAGTAA